AAGGCTAACTTGACATCTAATTGATAAATTTTCCATTTATGATGAGCGGCAAGAGAGATTAGCAATCTTACGGTGTCAAGTCTTGCAACTGGAGCATAGACTTCATCATAGTCCACTCCATACTTCTGTTTGTAGCCCTTTGCTACAAGCCTTGATTTGTATCGATCCACACTCCCATCTGCAATGCGTTTGATCTTGTAAACCCACTTGACACCAATAGCCTTCTGATTTAGTGGGAGCTTTGTCAACTCCCAAGTGTCATTCTTCTCGATGGCATGGATCTCTTCTTCCATGGCTTTTTTCCAACAATTTTCTTCCACAGCTTCATTGAATGAGAGAGGCTCATGGTTTGCATAGAAGCAGAAAAAATTGGTTTCTTCTTCTTCTTGTCCATAAATCTCTGTGAGACTCCTTAACCTCACTGGAGTTGAGGAGCTGCTTTCCTCACTACATGTAGAACCACTCCTTGCAATTCTGTGTACTGGAGTTGTTGTGATTGTTTGAGCAGGTTGTTGCTCAACAGGTGGTACAACTTCTGGTTCTTCAAAATCAGTGGAGACGATCTTCTCTTTACTGACTTCTTTGTTGTTCCACATCCATGCCTCTTCCTCACTGAAAATGACATCTCTACTAACCACTAGTTTGTCAGTTAGTGGGTTGTAGAGCTTGTACGCCTTGGACTCTTCACTATAGCCCACAAACACACACTTCTCACCTCTATCATCAAGTTTCCTCCTCTTGGCTTCTGGAACTTGAGCATATGCAACACACCCAAAAATTCTTAGGTATGTAACATTCGGCTTGTATCCACTCCAAGCCTCTTATGGTGTCATCCTCTTGACACTCTTTGTTGGACATCGATTCAACAAATAAATCGAACAAGCTACAGCTTCTGCCCATAACTCTTTTGGCAAATTCTTCTCCTTAAGCATGGACCTTGTCATGTCAAGGATGGTTCGATTCTTTCTTTTGACTATCCCATTTTTTTGTGGGGTATAGGCAGCAGTAAGTTGATGCCTAATTCCTTGCTCCTTGCAGTATGCTTGGAAAGCATTGGAGGTGTACTCTCCACCTCTATCTGATCTCACAGCCACAAGCTTGTGGTTGCTTTCAGCCTCTGTGAGTGCCTTGAACTCCTTGAAGATTCTTAGGACAGCCGACTTCTCCTTGAGAAAGTAAACCCAAGTCTTCCTACTAAAATCATCAATGAAAGTAATAAAATACCTATTACCTCCATAAGACATGGGATCCAATGGACCACATATATCTGTGTGCACCAACTGCAGTGGTGCCCTTGCTCTCCATGTATCACCAACAGGGAATGATAGTTGTGCTTGCTTGCCAAGCACACAACCTTCACATACTTGGCGTGAGGCTTCAATCTGGGGTAGACCATGAACCATTCCTTCATTTGACAGCAACTTTAGGCCATTGAAATGAAGATGGCCATACCAAAGATGCCATTTCCATGACCCATCTTCCATTACACCGATGTTGCAAATCCCAATCTTTGTGTTCAACTTCAACGGGAACATTTGGTTCTTTGACATTTGAACACGTGCAATAAGTTTTCTCCTTGCATTCCTGAGAGTGGGAAACATATTCTCCATATGTATAATGTACCCTTTCTGGAGCAGTTGACCAATGCTTAGAATGTTGCTCTTCATACCTGGTATGTAGTAGGTATCGGAGATGTATTCTTCTTTACCATCCTTCTGGATGATCTTGATCTTCCCTTTGCCTTCAACTGGCAACTTTGAGGAGTCACCAAGACTTACAGATCCATAGGCCACATCTTTTAGTTCGGCAAAAAACTCCTTCTTTCCACACATGTGATTGCTTGCACCAGAGTCCAAATACCAAACATCTTGTTGGCTACTGGAATCATGGTGTGCTAGCAAGACTGTAAGTTCTTCATCAGTATTTCCACTTGATTCTGCCATGTTGACATGCTCACCATTTTTATGTGAACATTCATTGGCATAATGTCCATATTGCTTGCAATTGTGACATTGGATATGCGTCTTTCCTCGAGTAGATCTCCACTCTTGAGACTGACCTCAATTTTGTGCATAGCCTCGACCTCTTCCTTGAGCTCGTCCTCAGCTACGGTTAGATGAACTCCCACGACGTGAGTTCCACTGCCCACGACCTTTATTTGGTTTGTCAATATTCAACTTTGACTCCAAAGCTTGCTCTAGCGTTGTGGGGCTTGCATTCTTCTGAATGCGTTGCTCGTGAACTAGGAGGGATCCTAGTAGCTCCTCTGTGCTCATCACCTCCAAATCCTTGGATTCCTCAATGGCAGTCACCACATGCTCAAACTTAGATGTGAGTGACCGGAGTATCTTCTCCACAACTCGTACTTCATCGAGTCTCTCGCCATTTCTCCTCATCTGATTTACTATCACAATGAGCCTTGAGTGATAGTCAGAGATGCTCTCTCCTTCATTCATGTGAGCAGTTTCAAAATCTGCTCGAAGTGACTGTAATCTCACTTTCTTGACCCGATCTACTCCTTTGTAGATTGTACTGAGTGTGTCCCATACTTGCTTGCTCGTTGTTGCTTCTGCAACCTTCTCGAACGTTGAATCTTCTAGACCCTGGTATAGAAGATACAGTGCCTTCTGGTCCTTCTTTCGTAAGTCCTTGAGAGTGTTCCTTTGTTCTGCAGTATATGCAGCTTCTTGCTCGGCAGTGGGTACAACATACCCACTACTGACAACTTCCCATAGCTCCTGTGATCCAAACAATGCTTTGAATTGGATGCACCATCTTTAATAATTTTCTTTCTTCAATGTGGGAACCTGGAGTTGCACTAAATTGGACGCCATAGCTACTGCACTTGCCAGAATGGTGTTCTGGCTCTGATACCAATTGTTGGTATTCACAAGAGTTTGCTAACTCAATACCAAAATATGTGGGTGATAAGTTTACAAACTCTATCACACCTCTCACTTTCACTCTCAATAAAATTGGACAAAGAAAGGAAAGAAGTAGCAAGCTTGGTGATAACAAACACTTTGAAATATTAGAAGAGTTTACAACTCTTAAAGCTTACAAGCTGAAATTAAATGAATGGGAAATGGGATTTGGATGGGATGCACTAAGGCTTAGCAAGATGGCCTATTTATACAAAACTGAAAAAATAAACAATCCAACAATACATATAATGAATGATGGTGTTCCACATCTTTACACCCTTTCAAACACATACAACAACTTTGATAGTTGGCATACACATGCATTGCATCATGGCAGGTTGTAATAACCACCTTTCGGCTTGCACACAGCAGCTCACATCTCTGCTGTCTTTCAATCTCCTTTCGGCTAACACATGGAGGAAGCAATGATCTTTGTAGTTGCTGAAAAAACACCCTGGAAAGAAACTAACAGCTTGTTTTAACCATTAACAAACTGTTTTTATTTGATTTTCCAACAGTTGTTTGGCAGAAAATCATAGCGCGTGCAGCGCGTGCGCGCGTCCGAAAGTGGAAACTGGGCTTCACAGCCCCAGTTTCAATCTCAGTTGGTGGAGCCCATTTTGGTTTGTGGTTTAAATCTGGGCTGGTATTTGACCCTCAAATGAGTTTTAGGTTTTAGGTTAATTTTAGGTCATGGGTTGGAGATGGTCTAATAATTTTTACTTAGTAAATCCAGATCCATTCATCCTTGCAAAAGTTGCATATTTTGTTGTTGGTGAATGAATTTAGACTTTAAGGTTTAATTTGAGAGTATTTAGAGTCTTTTCAAGTGTAGTTTTGGTTAAATTTGAAATTGAATGTTAAATTTTGGCTATTTATGATAAATACTCTAATAAAAACGTGTTAGTCTCTTATTGAGATTACTTAGAGGCCACATCTATTTTAAATGCCAAAGATTTGGCCTCGTTAGTAGGTTTATGGTCAAAATGACGTGCCGTGATTGTGTTGGTAGGATATACCTGTTTGCTGGTGCATCGGATCCATCTCGATTACCTGGTAATCAACGGTCAGTGTGGAGGAGTTCACTACGGACACCCTACGCCTGTTCACTTCCTAATTCTCTCTCTCACCGCCCGCCACCTCCCTCGTGCCTCCCTCTGTGAGAAACCTAATTCAATCAGTCACATCTCACAAGATATTCGGATTGTATTCGCGCCACTTCTTCAGCTCCTCATGTCAGCTGCATCAGGTCACTCTACTCATAGGTGTGAATATAGATTTATACATACATACATACATATATATATGTATATATGTGTATGTGTGTATTGAAGTTGTGTTTAGCTGAGTTTCGGTTATATGTTTGTGTTCTTGGCTATTGTGTTGTGTGCAACACAATAGAGCACTGAATTTGTGGAACCTTAAATCCAGAGCACTGAATTTGTCTTCAAACAAGAAGCTTATTAGGAAACTAGAACAACCGTTATATCGCGCATTTCGCTCTTCAGTTAATAGGATGAATCCTAGTAAAAGGAAAACAAAGGAGGGGAAAGTTTGAAACTTAATTGAACAAAGTTAATAGGATGAATCCAGAGCACTTGTATACGCTGCTTTAGCAAGCAGTTCGATATAATCTCCGGATACATGGGTGATAGTAATTTTTCCTTGAGAACTGGGTAGGAGTTCCTTTCCTGTACACTATCCATCGCTAAGTCGTTGTTTTCTGGAATGCAAAACATTTTAGAAGCGTTATGCTGATGATTATTGGCAAATAGCCCCTTCCAGCTTATCAGTAATGCAAACTAAAGGGAAATTCGAGCTTTTGATCGTTTGGTGCCTTTCTTTCTCCTTCCTAACTCAGTTCGGTTGCTTGAAATAAATCCAAAATGTGTTAGTCTGTGCCGATAAATGACTTTGGTGCTTTCGCCAATTTATTCCTTTGTCTCGCTTTTTATTTTGTGTATGTCAAAGGATACTGCACGCGCGTATACAAGTGAAATTGTATGTTTCCAAAATTGTAACCTTAACCTATGTCTTTTTTCATGTTATATCTAATTAGCTGCAGTATTCTGGGTGATGTTTGGTAATGTTCTGAAAGGAATTAGACGCTGTTATCTGTCTAGAGAGGCCTTCCGTCTTCCCACTGTAATAATTGGTAGTGTTTCTTATTCAGGAATCTTCAGTACCATGAGACAAGTCAAGGTTAAAGGCATGTCTGGTTTTTGTTCTCTAGATTCTGGTGGAGAATCTCACATCTTACAATTTGAATCAGCTAGTGAAAGCCGTAGACATTCATCCTTAAATGTGCAGTTCACTCCTGAAATAGAAAAGAAGTATGTCCATCAAGTTTATGATGCTGTCGCACCTCATTTCAGTTCGACCCGGTTTGCTAAGTGGCCAAAAGTAGCCAATTTTCTATCTTCCTTACCTTCAGGATCTCTTGTTCTTGATGCAGGATGTGGAAATGGAAAGTACTTGGGATTTAATCCTGATTGTTTTTTCATTGAATGTGATATAAGTGCTCCTCTTATCAAAATTTGTGCAGATAGAGGGCATCAAGTATCGGTTGCAGACGCCGTAGATCTTCCATATAGAACTGGTTTTGGTGATGCAGTTATATCTATACCATGTTTTCAGTGAAGGCGAGCTTGAAAGGTAACTTCTCATTTTCTTTCTTTTTCCATTTCGTGCGTGTGTGTATATATATATTGTTATCAAAAAATAATAAAATTGTACGTATATTTTCGTTATGTCTTGTTGCTATGGTTATGCTGTGTTGTTGGGTTGCTGAAATTGCAATAGCATTACTTGAAGCAAAGAAACCAAACTCATAGGGGGCAACACTAATCTTTTACATGTCTAGTGCCTATTAGGACAGAATTTTATTGTTCTATTTATATGATTTGTTATGACAGCTGGATCATTAGAGCAATACTTAATGAGTGGAATTGTAGAAGTTCACTCATAATGGTTTACATCTATGGATCAGTAACTGATCCAAAAAGTTCACTCATAAAAAATATTAATGAAATCAAATTCACAGCGGTGTAATATAGGTACCTAGTAGACATAAATATATATATATATATATATATATATATGAAACTTTGGTTATAAGGTTATAATCTATGTGTGGCGAACATGTCACCAAATTATATTTACGTTGACATGTCACCAAAATTTTGTTTACGCTGTCCTGAATGATGAGTTTTTGCTCATCGAATTCGGGTTCATGGCTTGAAGTCATATTATCATAAGTAAGTTGAGTGAGAAAACCATTCACGTTAAAGGTAGAGGCCAACTCTAGAAGCAAATGAGTATGAGAAGAAGCCTCATGGGTCTATTGGACCAAGCCTTCCCAGTGGGTGAAGAATCCCCCAATCGTAATGGTAGGCCAGCCTCTAAGTTAGGGAGCACGCTCCTAGTTGCTTCATTTAAGCTCCTCACAACTACCCAGTTGCTTGGTTGATGCGCGTAACTTTTTTGTGTCTAGTTGGATTTCCGTCTCTTTCGTTTTTTAAAGATGAAACAAACAGGTAAACCGTGTTAAAGGGTAACTCAAATTTTGTGGCCAGTTCTTAACGTTCTGACAATATACTGTATAACCGATGCTTTAACTTCACCAGCTCATTTACTCTTTTGCTGTAATATCCAGATTAGTAGCTGGAATGAAAGACGCTGTAATCATTGATCGATTTTTTTGACAAATCCAACTTGTGTATTGTTCTCGAGAAAACGTTATGATAACCGGAACCAATTAACCAATGCGGGTTCAATGCGGGTTAAGGTTAGCCAGTGAGTGTGCAGCCTGGAACAGCAAAAAGGTGCAGCAGCAGCAGCAGAGGATGCACAAAACAGTGAGCTCTCCTGAAAACTTGTTTGTTTCCAATGTGCCATTGAATAAAACTGCTTTGTGACTGTGGGGAATTGATTTTGAATGCCTTTATTAGAGGTGGTTAATCAATCTGCAGTTGCAGTAGTCAGCTGTGGTTGATAGTGTTTTATGCACATGGAAAGAAGGATCCAACATTATTTTGATTTGTTGTTTGTGATTGTCATTAGATACCCCTCATTTATACACTCAATAAGTAGCCAACCTACCATTAGTAACTTGTCTTTCCTACTGAGCAAGATGGACAACTTGGACAGTGGAATTTGCTAAGGGGCTTTGGACGTGGACGATTTCTGACCATATATGCATCTCGGCCTTGTTTTTGGATCAACGTGTATCAGCAGTTGGAAATTATCTCTAGTACTTGATCAACATCCTTATTTTTTATTGATTAACGTGTTTACAATTTTAAATTAAATCTGCAAACTGAATGATATGATTGCTGATTATTGGATTTTGAATTATTATTTAAGTATTGCCTAAAGTTCTCATTTTAAAGTAATGCGGGAGATGAAATGTCTAAACCAAATTTTGTAACCAAATAATATGAACATTGATGATTGTATTATTATTTTGACAAGTTTATTTCTCATCGATGACATAGTATTTGGTTTATAAATTTATTTAAAAATTGGATCCCTTTAATAATACTCTTTATTTTATATTAATAATACGTTATTTTTTATTTGTAAATTCAATTTAAAGTTTTGTTCTCCCAACATCCTTTCCAAAATAAGATGCGTGGCTACAATGTGTTTGGGTGACTATCCCAAATCCCAATGCCATTGAATGAATCATAAATGGTATTGTTGTGGTTGTGATTGTTCCATTCAATTGGTTCTGGCAATTAAACTCATTTTTTGGGATGGGATTCATGGATTAGTACGAAGCAATGGAATCAAACATTTCTAATCCACTATATTCTTTTAATTTATAATATTATTTTAACTATTTTAGTGTTTTAAAATGCTGATAAATTTTTGATATACATTATATTAACTATTTTAGAATAGTTCAATAGTTTAATTTATAATATTATTTTAACTATTTTAGAAATTTATAACATTTCTAAGCCATTTTCAACTGAGGGCTGGCCAGATGGCTCGTTTTAGCCCTCTGGCCCTCCAAGATTCTTCAATATATTAATATTTTAATGAACAGTACAGGGTCATATTTGCCTTCATCTCCAACTGAGGGCCAGAAGGCTTGTTTTAGCCCTATCACAAAAAACCGTCTCCAACCGAGGGCCAAATGACTATAGGGCCAAACATAATTTATTATTTAAAAACAACAACTTAAATGTTGTTTAAGTTTCATGTTGTTTAATGTTTTTTTTTATGTTGTATAATTTTTATGTTGGTTAATGTTATTAATATTGTTTAATGTTGTTTCATGTTACTTAATTTAATTTAATGTTGTATAATGGCTTAGGTGTAACATCCCACATCGCCCAGGGGAGTGATCCTTAAATGTATATTCCCATCCTTATCTAGCACGAGGCCTTTTGGGAGCTCACTGGTTTCGGGTTCTGTAGGAACTCCGAAGTTAAGCGAGAAGGGGACTAGAGCAATCCCATGATGGGTGACCCATCGGGAAGTTCTCGTGTGAGTTCCCAAAAACAAAACTGTGAGGGCGTGGTCGGGGCCCAAAGCGGACAATATCATGCTACGGTGGTGGAGCGGGGCCGGGAAGTGATCCGCCCTGGGCCGGGATGTGACAATTTGGTATCAGAGCCTAACCCTGGTCGCGTGTGTGCCGACGAGGACGTCGGGCCCCTAAGGGGGATGGATTGTAACATCCCACATCGCCCAGGGGAGTGATCCTTAAATGTATATTCCCATCCTTACCTAGCACGAGGCCTTTTGGGAGCTCACTGGCTTCGGGTTCCGTAGGAACTCCGAAGTTAAGCGAGAAGGGGGCTAGAGCAATCCCATGATGGGTGACCCATCGGGAAGTTCTCGTGTGAGTTCCCAAAAACAAAACCGTGAGGGCGTGGTCGGGGCCCAAAGCGGACAATATCGTGCTACGGTGGTGGAGCGGGCCCGGGAAGTGATCCGCCCCGGGCCGGGATGTGACATTAGGAGGTTATAGAAAAAAATAGAATTAAAAAAAATATGAAACAAATTTTGTGAAATAGAAGTTATAGGAAAAAAAATAGAATTTAAAATAAAATGAAACAAATTTTGTGAAATAGAAGTTATAGGAAAAAATGAAATTTAAAAAAAATATGAAACAAATTTGTAAAATAAAAGTTATAGGAAAAAAATAGAATTTAAAAAAAATATATATGAAAAATAGAAGTTATAGGAAAATTTTTGTAAATAAAAAATAATAATAAAACTGTTAAAAAAAATATTCAAAGAATTCCTGTCGGTTATAACCGACAGGAAATCCAACATAAGCAAAAAAAAATTGGCCAGCCCTCTATCCCTCTCCGATTCAGTGGAGCCCTCTCAGATTCCAAAGTCCTCTGACCTAGCCCTCGGTTAGAGACGGTTTTCGGGCTATTTTCGGCCCTCTGGCCCTCTGAACCCTTCGGTTGGAGATGGCCTAATGTCATCCTAGGTATCTAATTTGTTGGTATCAAATAATTGTTTGTAGTAAACAATGCATTGTTGCCATCTACTACTACGATTTAGTAATATTTTTCTTCATTCGTAAGTGAGGGGTCTTAAGTTTGATTTTCGTGAAAAGCAAATTTGAATCATATTATTTATAACTCATTGTGAGGCTTAGTCCATTCTCTCACTCCTTTAGTGTAGATAACATCATTTGTCCAAAAATAAATAAACTATGTATTGTTATGCAATCATAAATCAGCCATAAAAATTATTGTTGGATGTTAATTTGCTAGCACAAGGTTTCGGACGTTTTTCTTGTGAGGGAAAAAAGTTAGGTTGATATTCTAACTTGTAATATGTTATGATCATATTCATGCAGGAGGCAAACGGTTGATTGATTTGGTGGTTAGAATCTTTTTCTTGAACATTTTGCATTCTTGATTTAAACTTTTTTTTTTCAATTTAGCTTAAAATAGTGATATCACCTGTGATTAATACATTCATGCAAGAGAAAAATGGTCCATGTTTTTATAAACATGAATTATATATATATATACAACGGTATATTACAAATAAGATGTATTTTATAACGTGTGTAGATTGATAAAACCACATGATAGTACTACACTTATACTATTCTCGAATTAATGAGTTTTCTTCATGTCACTAAGGCGTAGGTGGAGTCCAACATGGCACTTCTTTGACTTAGGGATTTTAATACATCCTTTAGATACACGTAGTGTTTCAAACTAATAATGTTATATCAAAGATATAATTTCATGTGCTTGAATTATTGTATTATTGGTTTGTACGATCAGTATGTAATACTACAGAGGCGAAAATAATATAATAGCATGTGAGAAATTTATACAAAGATAATTATTAAACCGAATTGTTATGTGATAACGAATCTGTTTCATAAATGCAAGTTCCTAATGGTGTGAGTCATTGGACCGGTCATTGTAGCCTGATTGACTACCAAACATCTGTTCACAAGAAGATTCTAGCGATTCTTTTTCAGCCGGAAATGACATTAAAGGACCTGGAAATAAAGTTGCAGTTAGATAGCTAGGGTTTTCTTTTTGGAAATTCAGGGTTGCTGCTAGGGTTAATATGTATTCATGAAGACGAGGCAATAAATTCCAACTTTTTCAGTTCACCAGACTGTACACACGTTGCACTATAGTAATAAATCTATTAATTGTTTGGGATAGCTGACGTTACGTATATCCACACGCAAAAAATAAAATATGTTGTAATTCCCTTCCCTTGACTCGCTTCAATCCATGACATTTTTTGCAACAATTCAATCTCATACATAAATTATCTATATAAGAAATTATAAAATAATTAAAAACAGAATTGTAGTAAAAACATAAAAAAAAAAAAAAGGGTTAAAGACACTAAAATTAGACAAATTTAAACTAATTAATCTAATGGTCAAACTCACATTTTGCCGAAGTATAAATTAAAATAGTAATATCACTTGTATATCTTAAATATATTTATTTAAGCCATCTCTCAACTGAAATTCATTGTATTATAAGATTTATAACTTATAATGGTATTTGAAATTGACACACAAGATGATCACTGAAATTGAAAATCGATCAATCTAGTTCCTGAAAATAGGTGTTACAAATTAAGATGATCACAACTCTATCAAAAAATTCGGTTATAGGGTGATGTGACATATAAGACCATCTTCAAATGAAATATTAAATTATAAAAGTCAAATTACAATTGATGGCTGATGTGGTAATCTGAAGTCCTGTGTCAAATTTTGTCATTCTCCAACTAAATTGTCAAATGTTATTTTATTATTTAAATAGAACTTTAAATGACTGTAATTATTAAAAAAAATGTTGAAATAAAAATTTTATTGGTTGAAATGTTAGTGGAATATGGGACCCACTATTAAAATGAATTAAAAATTGACGTCAAATCACTAAGTCTTCAAATCCATTCAGCAAATAACACTTCGGTTGGAAAGACTTTTGATTTCAAATATGCACAATGGCATTCTACCTAGGCTTTTGACATCTCATTTGGAGATGCTCTAAATGAGTTCCACAAGTCTAATTAAATTAAAAATAAATTGGAAATAGGTTTAATACTTAAATAAAAAGGTTGTCAACCTAGAAACTCAGTCCCACAATCACCTCCAATCTCAACCCACACTCCTCAGTCCCGCAATCACCTCCAATCTCAACCCACACTCCTCTAACTCCTTCCCTTCACTATCTCTTCTTTGGAAAAGAAATTTTCAAGACACTCATCTTTACACCATTCGACACGCTTCACCGAATTGGATTAGGATCGAGACCAACTTTGATGACGACTTGGATTGGAGATGACTTCTGTGACATCACCGTTAACATTTGGTCGACCAACATCCTCACAACCTTAATCTTGGAGAGCTAGTTGGGTGCTCCCCCTGTAATCTTGGTGATGCGGAGAGTGGTGAGTTTTGCCTTGAGATAATCACATTGCGCAAAAAGGTACTTTGACAACTTTTTTTAATTAATCATCAAAAACTTTGACGGAATTATGACGGAATGACCATATTGATTTTGTGACACCTATTTTTAGGGATTATATTGATCGATTTTCAATTTCATGGACCATCTTAATGGTGTGAGTAAATTTCATGGACCATTTGAGAGAAAAACCCGTGAGTCTTGTGGGACACGTTTATGTGTCACATCATCGTATAACAGAATTGTGGCAAAACTACCACATTGATTTGCGACACCTATTTTCAGATATTATATGGATCAATTTTCAATTTCAAAAATCATCTTTATATTGTGGGTCAATTTCAGAGACTATTTACGATAAACACCCCTTTTTATTTAAAATCATTATTCAATGACTCATATAAGATTTTGTGTTGTCCAAAAGTTAATTACTTACCCCGCTAATTGCTGAATTAATTTTCTTGTTGGATGTTGAGATTGAAGGAGATGTCGATATCTATATATGTACTACGAACGTGGCACAAGTTGGATAATCATTTGAGGATTGAGATTTTGTAACCAGCTTACATGACATGCCAATTTGTTTTGATGGGTAGTTTTAATTCGAATGTAAAATGTAAAAATAAACGTTGTTACTAATACTTTTTTCCCCAAATAAAAGCATTGAGTATATATGTTTAATATATGTTTATGCATGAAGATTTCTTTTGTTTTCCGTAACCAACGTCAAGTGCATAAGTTGTTATCAGCCCCAATGAGATCAAAACAACTCTTAACCTAATAAGAGAAACTGGAATACTTATTTATTTTACACGATTTATCCATATTAATGTGTCATGTTAATGGCTTATAACTCATTTGACAGTTGTCATAGTTCTGACCCGATATCGTGTTGCACTGTTTTACCGTGTTCTGTTTTGTTTGGAAGGATTGAAGCTACGTGACATATACGTTATTGGGCAAAAAATGTTAATTAGTTTTTTTTTTTAAAAGGATTGAAGCTACGTGACATAAATTCGATTAATTAAAGAAAGTGACAGCATATTGAAGCTACTTGACTCGCCTCTTTCTTGCTTTTTTTTTTTTGTTTTTTTTTTGTTTTTTTCAGTGGGATATTAATGCATTCTTTATTCGATATGCTATCACTTCACAATCAGCTATCCAAAGTTCGTACATAGTCTATTTTTACTTAAAATATCTTAAATTTTTATCATTCTCATTCATATTTCACGTCATATATATCGTATAAAAATATACTATCTTATATTATTTAATGTACAATACATTTTGATTTTGAGTATGCATGACATACTTAAACATAAGGTTTAGACGTAAATATTTATGAATCGATGTTATAAATTATTGATCCTGTGATCAAGAGAACATTTAACTCGATTACCAAAATACTCATTCATTTTGTCTCTCTCATCCCCATGCTCTACTTTCTCTCTTGCATTAATTAACGTATTTTTTTACCGGGTAATTCTAGGGAGACCAAATTCTTATTGGTAACACATTATTTGATTTGCAAATTTAGTTTAAAATTTTGGTCTCATTAACATTATCCTTCTTTACCACTTGCATAGCTAGTATGCATGCATCCTATTCATTTTCTTCATACTTCTGTTTGTCGTGCGTTGATTAGTTCTATATAGCAAGGACTATCTCTGTACATCTGCTGGTTCACTGGTTGCTACGTTTGGTGTGGTTCATTACTTGCTCAGAGATCGATGTTCTATCTGTCCTTGCCTTTTTAGTTTGGTTTGGCCAATGCCCATGCAGGTAGGTTTCCTTTGGACGGTTCAGTTTTAGACATATTTCATGATTTAGTTGTTGGTCGCTGTTAAATATATATTCACCTTTGGACGACTGCCACTCGCAACACTGCCCATAACACTTTATTCTACTATATAGATATGCTATATTAGATATACAGGAGAAGAAGGCCAGAGATTATGTTGGCTACGCAGACCTAGTAGTGAATCTGAACCACTCTCACCCATATCGTGTGCGGGCTTTCAACTCTCTCCCGCTTTCTCCCCCTCTCACTCCCTCTCTTTTCGCGTGTTTGTCGTTTTGCGATAGACCAAGAAAATACTAAGGAAATTACATTTGTGTATGAGCGAGGCCAGGGTAATACAAGTCCTTCATTCATAGAGATGCATGTTTTTTCTTTTTATCATGTATTGGATGAGAGGAAATATTCAGAACAAAATTTTGAATGCATGGTACAAATACTCAGGAAATGGTTTCCCAATTCTTTTCCTGCCACAGGATTTCCATCTATAAAATTAACTGGTCCATCGCAGAAGGGTAGTAAATTAACTTCGAAGTTTAATGTGCATAACTATGGATACTTATATATTACCATTATTGTCGTTTTCCCTAAGATACATGTTAAGGAAATATTTTTTAACAATCGGAGGTAATATATCAGCACTTAAAATCAAATTGAACATTATTTGCTTTAGCAATTGCTTAGTATCCATTGTATTAAAAAAAATCGTGAGTCCAAATCTCATGCACAATTGTTGTTAATCTAAAAATTATGGAGAGGGAGCTTTAAACTTTGGGGCACTTAAGGATTACATTGCTACACTCAAATTTTCATATTAAATACGATTTAATTAGTTTCATGTATCAGGGTAATGTTATTGAGACTAAATTTGCAACCTAAATGGCATGGAAATTGGGGATTGGATTAATTATGACTTAGTGTTGATAAACGTGTTCATTCCTATAATGACACATCATTTAGTTTGTAAATTTAGTCTCCTTAACATTACCCACATACTAATTCTACACGATGAGTAAAATTGTTCTCGAACCTATACAAAATTGTGAATATCTACATGGGAAGTATTTCGTACAACTTAATATATAAATATATATGTGTGTGTGATATATCCAATAAAATGCAGTTACTAATATGACATAGTATGTAATCAATAAAATTACATGATATGTGCATATCACTTTGTACATTATCTTTTGTCGAATGTAAGAGTATTGTAGTCTTATTTCACCCAAAATTAATGATCTCATAAAAAACAGTTAATCAATTAGCTTGTTTTTACAAAAGATATGATTTTCAAAAATATAAATATAAATTTTAGGTTTGGACAAAAATATATGTCAATATAAATACTTTTTATTGTATTGGAATATAAATATAAATACTTGACTTATACAACATATATTATTTTCCAAAATATATAAATACAAAATCTTCATAGTTTAAATTGGAAAATCCATGTATATAACTTAGTGATGTTAGAGAGATCAAAATTTTAAATCATTTTCAATAAATTACATATTATAGCGGTTTATGGTTTAAATTCTTCTTCAAATCACTAAAAACGAAGCTTAACTATTAACCACTACTTTACGTGATATACAAATAATAATTTAAAATTTTGATTTCCTTATCATTTTTCATATAACTTTATGTAGCTTTTGGAAATGAAAATATAAAAATAGTAGAGAACCCACCACGATACCAATTGAAAACTCATACCTAAACCATGAAGGAATCATAAATGAACCCTCGTAATAATATATAATATGCTGCATCTATTGAAAAAAATGTAGTAAGCGAAGGCACCAAAGATGTCTGGAAATCTATGCTCCCTAGAAGCACTTTCCTCCTCTTTCCAAGTCCACAGCAAACCAAGCAACATATCATCATCCCCTCCAGAACATAAAGCCAGCCAGCCCCATGCAACCCACTTCAACTTTCAGAAGTTCAAAACCCTTGCTCAAAAGGCAAAAGTGCTTTCAAACAAAACAGTGCTTTTCCACTTTGAGGAAGCACTTTTGAAGTCATCAGCTTCACTGTTTCCTTACTTCCTGCTTGTGGCCTTTGAGGCTGGAGGGCTTTTGAGAGCTATGATCTTGTTTCTCTTGAGCCCTCTAGTTTTTTTGGTTGGTGGAGAGTTAGGCCTAAATATTATGGTTTTTTTGTGCTTTTGTGGGATTAGGAAGGATAGGATGAGGGTTGGGACAGCTGTCCTGCCCAAGTTCTTTTTGGAGGATGTTGGGAGTGAAGGGCTTGATGTGGTGATGAGATGTGGGAAAAAAGTGGGAGTGAGTGAGTTGCCTAGGGTGATGGTTGAAGGGTTGTTGAAGGATTATGTCGGGGTTGATGTTGTTGTTGCAAGAGAGCTAAAAGTTGTTGCTGGATACTTTGTGGGGTTGATGCAGGAAAAAAAGACTAACTGTTTTGATCCAAATGTAATTTTTGGAGAGGAGATCAAGACAGATTCTCAAACTATTGGCATAATTGGTTGCCAAGATAGTTTTTTGCAGCATGAGCAACTCTTTTCTCATTGCAAGGTTGGTCAATGGTCATTTTGACTCTCTCTCTCTCTCTCTCTCTCTCTCTCTCTCAATTTGATGTTCATTTTGCATCATGAGCAACTCTATGTATATTTCCTTTTTAATAATAACATGGTCACTTGACTAGAATGTCTTCTTGTAGGAGTAATCATTTTTGGGTGTCGGATATTTCCCTTTGTAATAATAATATTAAGACAGTATGTTGGCTAAAATAGTATGTTGGTCTATCCTACGTCGAATTTCTCTTTCTTAAAATTAATTAAAATGATTTAAAATATTGTATACCCACGTTTTTTTTTTTTTTTTTTCAGGATGAGATTTACATGGTGACCGAAGCTGAGAAGCAAAACTGGAAAACCCTAGCAAAACAAAAATACCCAAAACCCTTGATTTTCCATGATGGAAGATTGGCCTTCTTCCCAACCCCAGCAGCCACCTTAGCCATGTTCATGTACTTCCCTCTAGGAATTTTCATCTGCATCATAAGATTCCTCACTGGCATTTTTCTCCCTCACAGCATTTCCTCTCCAATCTTGGCCTTCACAGGCACAATCACCACAATTTCAAAACCCAAATCCCCAATTTCCCTAACAAATGATGCCCAAAAACAAAGGGGAAGACTTTATGTCTGCAACCATAGAACCCTCCTAGATCCACTCTATGTCCAACTAGCCATTGACAAATCCCTCTCTGCTGTCACATACAGTTTGAGCAAAGTCAATGAGAAAATTGCCCCCATGAAAACCATCGGATTAACCAGAGATAGAGAGAGAGACGCAAAAACAATGGAGAAACTGTTGCAACAAGGAGACCTTGTGGTTTGCCCAGAAGGAACAACATGCCGAGAGCCATATTTGTTGAGGTTCAGCCCTTTGTTTGCAGAGCTCACTGATGACATTGTTCCTGTAGCCATTGATGTGAAAGTAAATATGTTTTATGGTACATGTGCTAGTGGGTTCAAAAGTTTGGATCCAGTTTTTCATTTCATGAATCCACATCCTGTTTACACCCTCCAGCTCCTTGATAAACTGCCTGAACAAGAAACATGCAATCTTGGAGGGAAATCAAGGTTTGAAGTTGCCAATCATGTACAAAATGAGATAGGTAAGGCTTTAGGGTTTGAGTGCACCGGTCTCACAAGGAAAGATAAGTACATGGTGTTGGCAGGTAATGATGGGAGCTTGAAAAGCTCAAGGTGAATCAGTAGGGAGTAATTTACATGGAACAAGATGTTATGGTGTCGGTGTTTCCATGACTTGTAAGTCCTTCTCCAGTATGTGACCATCAGATCTATAAATGTAAGCATCAATTAGGTATTATCTATTTGGAATTGGTTTTACGTGATCAAGACCCACCAGTGGTCCAAGTGATCCACAAACCATTGGCTGTGAGCCTATATGATTACGTGAGCTTATCCTCTTGTAAAATAACCATGTACTTGGTTGTATCATATATGATAAGTTGTTTTATTTTGTTTAATTTAATTACTTTTACATACAAGCGAGATTGAGGAAGAGAGACTCAAAGTATGATCTCATTTGTAAGGTTAAATATTTTCAACTACTTGAGTTACAAGTATCTACATTTAGTTGAGGGATAATAGTGTACTGAAATTAAAAAGGTATGAAAATGGTGGATTTTTTTTTATAAATTAAGAACAAATCAATTTTCTTTTAGTAGTTGATCCTATTAAACACATAACGAAATGGTATGACAATCCCAACCCACCAAATTGTTATTAAAAATAAAACTATGCCTAAATTCCCACCATGCATCGCTGGCCCCAAGTAAAGGAGAACAAGTTGGCACGAGTACACTGTTACATTACGTGACGTTTCATGCCAAAGAAATAAGAATATTTGGACAAAAACTCACACATGTATTTATCTTATTGACATGAAATGTCACCATGACAATGTACCCATGTCATGTAAGTCTTGTCCATGCAAAGAAAGAGAGAAAAATCCAACCGCTCACAATAAATTAACTTGAATTCCAACATGTACATTCCGAATTCACATCATCTTCATTAGACCGAACAACATATTACACCTCTAAAATTGAAACTAGAGATACATAAATAAGATTTCAATAATACAATACGTATTAAGAGAAACTTACACGTAACATTATATTATTGAACTGAAATGTCACTGTGACAATGAACCCATTCCAGATACGTCATTTTATTTGTGTCTTGGAAATGCTCTAAGTGATCCGTGATCCGGACCCACCAGTGGTCCAAGTGATCCGGACCAATGACTCAGACCAATAATTTTGTAGCTATATGTAATTGGGTTGAATCATAATTATATGTTGTTTTATTTTGATTTTATTTATTTATTTATTTTTCTATACAAGTGGAATTGGAAGAGGAAGGTTAATTAAAGTATTTTAGTGAAATTGAGAGAGAAAGGTTCTAGTATATTTTAGCAAAAATTGAAAGAGGAAGGTCTGAGTATACTTTTAGGTGTCGAATTGTATACTTTTTAACTATTTGAGTTATAAGTCTCTTGCTATACACACAAATTTATTGTCTCCCCTCCCATCTCCTCCTCGTTGTGTAGCGCATGTGAAAATTGTTGAATAAATTGATGAGAACGATGATGCAATCCAAGAATTCTCTCCGACTTCCCTGATAGCTTTGAGACCTTTGAGATAGCTGTCAAGTTTTGTTACAACGTCAAAATCAACTTGAGGAGCCAACTATATTTGGTGTGCAAAAGAAAGAGGTAAATGGTGTGGACATAAGTGGAGAAGACGAAGGAGTGTTGAACAAAAGCAATAAAAATAAAATAAAATAAAGCTCATTAAATATGTGACACAACTTCAAGCCATTTCTTTTGAACAGTCTAGATTAAAAGAAGGGGATGAGAGGGGAGAGAATTCAAGTCTATAAAATATTGCAATGACAGTTAGAAGCAAACAAAAAGAAGACGTACGTCTCATGGTAGAGCACCTTTAATGATACAAGCAAATCAAATAGACAAAATTGTATTGTACAAACTTGCTTGATATATTGCATTTGTTGGAGTATTTTCGATTTCATTTGGTTCAATTTTTTTACCAAAATTGAAAACTAAATTGAAAATACTATTCAGTTTGATTTGGTCTGGTTTTTTCAATTTGTATTTTGGTTTTGGCTTGGTTTCAGTTTTTCTCAATTTTTTTATTTTGTCTTTTTAACATTGAAACTGGAGATAAAATGAAGAAAAAAAAAATTAAAAAATAAGGCTTTCAACATATTTGGGCCTAAGGTTAGGCTTATCTAGCCTTGAATTGAAACTAGATTAATGATTGACTTGGAATTCAGAATACTCAACATAAATAAATAAATTATTAATTCATATCTCATTCGGTTCCGTTCGATTTTTGAACCAACAAAACCCAAACGAACAAATAGTTTTCAGTTCAGATTGATTTTTTTTTAGTTTCAATTTGACTTTCAATCGGTTCATTTTTTGGTTTTTGGTTTTTGGTTATCGAAGCCCACCCCTATGCATTTGTTTTATAATAAAAACATTAAGAAGTTGATTTTACCCCAATTCTTAAGGTGTATATTAGAGAAACCCCAAAAAATGTAAGTCTTCAAAATAAACTCTTCGCCCAGGTATCCACACAATTTATTGCACGTATTTTGGTTTCCACATAATTTTATTGATTTATTTACGTTTTGGGTGTAGCTAATGTCTTTGTTGGCATCTTCAAATAATGGATCACAAACTTTTATTCCCTCTGTGAGAGGTCTATTAAATTAAACATGTGAATCAAAGTTTAGATGGTCACAAACTTTTCCCCTCTATTGGAGGTATGTTATATTTTTGGCTTTTTAGCTAAAATGGTCCTTAAGATTTGCCTAACTCCTCGCTTTGGTCCATGAGATTTGAAATCAATAAAAGTGGTCATTGAGATTGTCCACCATCATCATTTTGGTCATTCGGTGAAAAACTATGTTAAATAAGGATCAAACTGATAAAATTACCCTCAATATAATAAACAATATGCCAAAATGGTTTGACAAAAATTGAGGGTATTTTTGTCATTTTGTCCTTATTTTATGGAGATTTTATATGGAATGACCAAAATGATTGATTGTGGACAAACTCAGGGACCAATTCTATTGATTTCAAATCACAGGGACCAAAGTGATGAGTTATACAAATCTCAGGGACCATTTTGGCTAAAAAGCCTATGTTTTTCTTCTTTTAGCATCTCACACATCTCTTTCTTTAATTATATTTTATTCTTTTCATCTAACTATTCAATTTGATTATTAGAAATAAATAAGGATGTATGAAAAGTTAAAACGCGTGAAAGTCTAAGCAAACTAAACCAAGCAGGTATTTTTCTTGGAGACAAAATTACATGGAACAACATACACCGTTATGTGGTGTCTCGTACCAATGAAACAAGGATATGTAGACAAGAAGAAATTAAAATTTCTTTATTTCGTTGGCATGAGACGCCATCCTGGTAGGGGTACTTGTGCCATGTAAATCCTCTTTTTCTTGCCCGTCGAGAAATCAATGTCATACAAGCGGCACATTCACCGACCACTTACCTTGGAAGACATTTGTTGTTCCTGCTCCACAAACCACATACCTTTTTTTTTTTTTTTTTGGAATATGGAGATTCATTACCAAGGCAAAAATGCCAAGATTACACAGAAAGCCTACACCAAGGCAAACAACTAGCACAACACAACAAACCGAGCAGTGCAGGGAGATACAAGGAAGATAGACGCCGCACCAAGTGCAAAAATGTTGCCACCTGCACTGCCAAAACAACTTAAGGTGGGCAAGGTAAGCCATCATTGTTAAGGACATAAACCAAAGAAGATGGAGGTCGATTAACCCATGAAACATCACATATCTCCTGAGATTTCATCGATGCTAACAAGTCCGCTGCCATATTGGTTGATCTTGGAGTCCAAGACCAGTGACAGTCTTAGAAAGAATCCCCTAGTTTTTCGACCTTCACCAAAACAGGATAAGCCCCCCAACTGCCATTCAAGCATGAGATAGACGCGAGGGAGTTGGATTCCAAAATAACCCATCTATGTCCCAGAGAGATGCCCAACTCACAACTATGTAGGAGTGCCATGGCTTCAGCTGCCAAAAACTTCTCATCGTCGTCTCATACGACTATCGCCACAAACCCCAATCCACTAGAAGTAACCCAGCTTGCGTCTACGTTGATTTTGATGAAGGGGGAAATAGGAGGGGACCATCCGGTTTCCTCAACAACACCACTAGAGATAAAGACAGGATGATCCACATTTTTATGGTTCGCCTCGAGAAAATCGCCCATTGCATTTGAGATGGCAAGAAGAACCTTTGACGGGTTGATTTCACATTGGTTGAAGAGGAGGTTGCATCTTTCTTTCCAAATATGGCAACACATGAAGGCAACATGAGAGAGCAGCCAATCTTTATCCTAGTTAGCCCAGCAGCCATAGTTGATAAGGTACTCTAACCAATGCGCCCATGTTGAGATGTCATCCCTATCAACCCCATAGTTTGGAGCCCCAACAAACCATATTGCTTCCACCTATGGACATTAAAGATGTTCCACAAATTCATCACAGTCTTGGCAGATAGGGCATATCGGGGAGTGGGAAGATTTTCTCTTGAAAATATTAACCATCATGGCAAGGGCCCTATATATTGTTTTCCATATGAAATTTTGAATTTTTTTAGGAGTGTTTAGCTTCCAAATGACCTTCCAAATTTGCTCCAAGGAATGTCTAATGTAGGACGGGCACTGACCCTCTAAGTTGTAAGCCCTCGAATGTGCCTAGTGATACCCCGACTTCACCGTGTATCCTCCATGTTTGTCAAAAGGCCAGACAAGCCTATCTTTTTTAGAAGTGTCTCCAATCACAATATCAAGAATTGTGATCTTCTCCTCCGATGATAAAAAGGCCATAAGAAAGTCAATATCCCAGGATCTAGAATTTTCACAAATTAGTGACTTAACCCGAGTGTTTCTAAATACCACGACTTCACCCCTCGGCATTGGATGTCCCAAAGGAAGGGAGAGGATCCATCTATCAACCCATAAACGCATGTCCCTTCCTCCCATGATCTGCTAATGTGCCCCCTTCAACAGTAGGTCTCGGCTCACCAATAGACTGGACTAAACCCACAACACTCAGCATCCTCGTTGAGCATCAAGAAACGAGCAGTGAGGAAAATACCTGGCGTTTAAAACTCTAGCCCGTAGGGACATTGGGTTATGAATAAGGCACTAGCACTGTTTTGCTAAGAGTGCATCGTTGAAGTCCTGGAAGTTCCTAAATCCCATACCTCCCTTACTCTTCAGTAAGCTAAGAGTTTCTTTCGCCACCTATTGGATTCTTCTTTCCGCATATATTTGTCCCCACCAAAACCCAGATATAAGAGCATCCAACTCATTACAAACCACCGCATGAAATTTGAATAAGTTCAACAGATAGGCAGGGATAGCTTGTACCACTA